TATTTTGATTTTATATTCTTCTTTAACTTCAACAGATTGAGAAAATTTTAATGAACTATTATCTACAGGATGCAAATTATCTAAGTATCGCTATTCTTTTTTCGTTTTTTTTTTTCTTTTTATGCAGTAGTTGACTAGAGTCTGAAACAAATTAAGAGAGATATCGGGTTTAAGACACTTACTATTTTGTATATATTTGAGAATATTTCAGGTTTATGTATTGACCTTGGCAAGAACAACCTTGTGGGCATCAGTGTGGAGGATCAATTGGATAGAATGTTGGCCAAATTGATGGGGACTGAAGTTTGATGCTTCGACATGACTTGTTAGTTATTTGGATGTCCCTTTGGGAGGCAATCCTCAGTAGTCTTCCTTTGGAATCCATTAGTGCATAATATCTCCAAGTCTCTTGAGCTTTGGAAAGAAACCTTTGTCTATTAGCGCTAAGATTACTCTTATCCAAGTATCTCTCTCTAGTATCTCTCTTTACTATCTCTCCTTGTTAAAATTCCTAGATGTGTAATTGGGACATTAAGAGAATGATGAGGAACTGCCTTATTGTCGGATCAAGTGGGGCCATGAGGAATCTTTTAGTCATATGAAAGGTCTGTTGCATGTCTAAGATAGATGGAGCTATGAGCGTTAGAAAATTTTTATAGTAAAAATTTGTCTTTCACAGCTAACTGTGATGTTTTCTTTTTGAACTTAGCTCGTTGTAGCACAGGATGGTTAAGAGCAAGTTTAACCTACATCGAAACGTTTGGGACTCCAAAATCAGTGTTTCTAATACTTGTAGGAGCCCTTTAGAAAGGTATCCCCAACCTCTTTGTTTTTTTTCTTCCCCTACTCAGTCTAAGGGTGGGTGATGGTTGACACTTTTTTCTTTGAGAGGATCATTGGATGGATAGCATGTTGTCGGCAACTTGCTTTGTTCATTCTTTTTTGGGAGGGTCACTTGATGGGTAGCAGGTTTTTGGCTACTTGCTCCCTTCATTTGTGCAATATGTCTTGTCATGCTCCTACTTGTTCCTTTCTAGTGACGTACATGTCATTGCTCGTGGAAGATGTTTGTCCTTTAGAAACCTCAATTGCCGCAAAATTGTTGATATGGTTTCTTTGGTTTAGTGCTTATCTCCTCTATGGGCCTTGATCGCTAAAACTGGTTTTTAAACTTGTCAGGATATTTTACATGCAAGTCTCTTATGGCTACTTATCCCATAAGCTATTTGCAATGATATTTTCATTAAGCTTTTTAGAAGGTTCCAACTCTCTTGAAGGTTAAGGGAATTGTTTGGATGACAGTCTTGAACAAGTTAAATACTAAACATTTCTTCCAACCTAGAGACTAGTAATCCTATACCCACCCCAGTATGATATACAGCAAGAATGTAGTGCTAAAATTGAAGAGTCCAAATCTGCTAAGTGAAGAAATGGCCACCTTTACTTTGTTTTGAATCCTTTTTCCTGCCAACTAACATGTTTCCTATGTTTTCATGTTGGCATGGACTTGACCTTTTTTCTTTAGAATTCCAGTAGAGTCCCGCAATGTTTTTGAGTTATTTTTAACCTCAAAAACATCCCTCACTACATTTAGAAACTAACTTCCAAATTTCATAAGAAATGGAACTCAAAAACAAGGTGAAGATTACACCTTACCTCACGGATTCTTCCCTTTAGACTGTGGGCTTATCACTTCTTTTCTTCTCTTTTCTTTTCGTTTCTTCCTTCTTTTTTCCTTTTTCTTCTTCTTACACTTTGGGCAGAGTTTTCTCAAGGAAAAAGTCCTTTTGTTTCCACAAGTCACTTTCTTTTTGTCTAGTTTTTACAATAAATTTCTAAATTTACATTTTTTATCTATTATTTTCTTCATTCATTTTGTGCACAATAGTGTTTTACACTAAAATTAGTTTTTACATAAATTTCTATATTGATTTCTATCAGCTTGAGTGAATTATTAGAAAAACAATATCAATTTGAAAGAAGGGTTTGTAAAAGAAAATTAATTTATACTCATAAAAATTTACATGTGAGTGTATGTTCTTTGTTAAAATTTATCTTTTAGATCTTTAAAAATTAAAAGAGTTCTGAAGGAGGGGCTGTACAAAAGATACTTATTTGTAATTGATTCATCACTATATGGTAGTTAGATTGATAATATAGGAATTTGTTAATTTGGTGGAGTCGACAAAAGAATAAGAGGATCCATGTTGCTTTTACTATTATTTTTGTCTTTTATATTATTCTTGATTATCACCATCTTGTTGCAGAGCACAAACCATTCAAAACCAAAGGATGTGTTCTCCTAACACCCATTCACAAATCAAGGTTATACAAATCTAAAACCCATTTGGAAGCACTTGCATTTACTTGTATACAACAGTATGTCCGTCTAACATCAATAACAAAGTGAGTGTATATATATCTAACAGCCCTGAAAAGCCTTGCTAGTAAATTACGTGCAAAGCTATTTCGTAGATTAGATCAAGTTGGTAAGGATAAGACATTGAATTGGTTGCAAGTTGAGAAATTTCCTTGCCAAGACAAACCATACTGCATATTGCCTTGTTATATAAAAATAGAAGGAACTAACCAAATGGGTTGAAACATTCAAAATCCTAAAACATACCTGACCGTAGGCAAACATACAGCTATTGTAGCCAGACAAGCAATTCTCCACCATTGGCAGAGCAGCCATCCGAAAAAGCATTTCCTGGAAAATAGATTTGCAACATCTGCTTAACTTACTTTAAAACAAAATGCCCTGACATCTACAGGTTTCCACTTTTAACCAGACCTGGTCTACTGTTTCACATGAAACGTGATCAAATGTGAATCGAGTTTCTGGTTGCCCTATCCATGTGATGGTCTGAGCACTCTCCTGCTTTAAGCATCTACTATAACCGTGCATACTCTTCTCCATGCTATTGAGGGGGCGCACACGTATAAGAACCTAGATAATTTAGCACCCATCAGCACCGGGGAAAAAAAATTCTTGGTGAAATTTAGCAGAAACAAAATTCATAATTATTCCTAACCAAAATAATAGCACAAGGGAACTGATCTAAGCCAGATATAATATTCATCATTATTCCTTAAAAGTATTTAAACCAAATTCTTTGTGTTTAGTCATGAAAATGCAGAAGGAAGGAATTACAATCATCACAAGCAAATGTATTATGGCAATCAAATTCAGTAGTTTCATAAATAAGAGAAAATTATCACCCAAGAAAATCCCTGCAGATCAATTCATGCCGCGCTCTTGGAAAAAGTAATTCCCTTAATGAGAAAGAGTGAACCCCATGTGGGAACTAAAACCCTACTTACCTGTACATTGTGATCCATCCAAAACGATGGATCCTCCTTAAGATCGAAGTGAGGCACTTCGACTGTATTGACAACTGTAGTTGGGCCAGAAAGACCTGGTATTCCTTTGTACAATGAGCCAAGATTTCCTGCACGCATGCCATGGGCATCATTCCTGCTCCTAACAGTTGAAACTGGAGGCTTCGTAACACTCTTGGTGGGCGTACTTTGTGTGGAACTGCTCTCAGTATAGCTTGGAGTAGGTCTCCCAACTCCCCTAGTAGTCCTTGGAGTTATACTGGGCAAACCCCCATTTACATTTCCGACTCCCCGACTCACATGACTCGAATAATTCTCCACAATATCAATTCTGGAATCCTCATGATACTCATTGGGATTCGAACAGGAATCATTCTTCTGGGCCCACCCAAATCGGTTCTTGGACGAAAACCCAGTTCCATATCTATCAGGAGTACGAAGAGGCAGAGTGGAATCAGTGTTTATGCGCTTGTGCTTAGTTGGCGTTCTTTCCATTTTACTTCGAAAACCCATCTCAGCTTCATGTTTAGGATTTGTCACTGGATCTTGAATAGAGTTAAGTGGAGCCCTAGATGAGGAATCTGTGCTAGCTTGAGATACCAGAGAATCTCTTGGATTTACGGGCACATTCTCGATTTCATCGTCTTTGCTCGGATTTCTTCGCAGGAACTTGAAATCCCTCAACATTCTATCAGCAACGCAATACACCCCGATAAACAAGAAGCAAAGACAAATGTAAATCTCAGGTTCATCTGTAAATGCACATGTGTCTATATATACTCACATAAATAGAAAGAGATAGCGTTTACATCCCAAAAAATGGATACGAATTACCTGAATGAAGAGCTTAAGAACAGAAACCCTAACTGATTCCGTGAAATGTTTAAGCTAATAGAGCTAAACTCAGTTCTTCTCAATCAGCATATGCTCCTTCTCTCTCTCTCCCTCTCTCTCTCTCTCTCTCTCTCTCTGATTTTTGAATTTTTGCTTTGAGAAATGAGATCGAGGATGGGTTTTTGGAGGGTTAAATGGACGGTGGAGATCAGATCAACATTATGAACGGACAGTTTGTAAGGATTACCGCGGTTTCGGGATTTGAATTTGTATCTGCAGGGTGGGGGGGGTTTTCGTCAAAAAAGAAAACATTGTGGGGCATATCGTAATTACAAAACTTTTCAAAATTTCAACGGCTAGATCTTGATATGGCAGTAGCCGTCCGATCAGCTCGCAATTGAATTTTTTGAAAAAATGTTAAATCCAGTAAATATTTGAATTTAATTAATATAAACTTTTTATTTTTCAAATTTATAATAAGATAAAATATAATTTACTCGTACACGTATAAAAAGATAATCCGAATTAAACTTATAATCTCTTATAAAAAAAATTACCGTAACTATTATTTAATTAAATAATAATCGATAATTATTTAAACTTTTTATATATATTATTTTGGTAGTAAAAAAAATTTATTCGTAATATTCAATCAAATTCGTGATAGTTTATTAAGATAAAATATTATTTTTTTATATCAACAAATAGACTTAATATTAATCTTAGTGTGTGTAATAAACTATCAATTTATTAGTTTCGTTTAAAAGTAATCAATTTCGATTAAATAGTTAGGGTCTTAACGCGTCTCATTTAAGTATGAGTTTATAATATCTGCAGATATCGTGTTTGTAATTTCTTATTTTATTATGCGTAAAATAAAAAATAACAAAAGTTGACGATACGAAAAGATGGGTTATAACTCTTAAATCGCACGTGGAGTTTTATTTTATTTTTTCCTTATTAACCCATTAGCGAAAAAAGAAAGATTAAAAAAGTCACAGATATTGATTTAGAAAATCTACCGCGCTGTGGATTCAAGTACGTTTTTCTGTATTCATTATCTTTGATTCAGTACGAATTTGCTTACGCTTTTTTTTGGATCTTGTTTGATTTGAATTTATAACACAAAACTCAATTTAACGATCGTAATACTATCGATAAACTGACGTATAGTAGATCAGATATTCCGAATGGGTGAAAATATTTATGATTTTATCGGAAAAACAAAAAAATGAAAAGAGTACAAGTTACAAAAGGATTAAACCAAAGAAACCTAAACCCATCTTCAAGCAATCCTTCATGCCTTTATCAATTCATAAATATTGATATATACTTACATTACCATTTAAGAAATGCCTTTATTCCCCCTATTAAACAATCTTCTCCCTCTTATAATCAACCAATCCAAATTCCATTTCCCAAATTCAAACTTCTCACGTCCTCCCTCCTCTCAAACACAACCATGGCTCAAACTCCACCAATGGAACAGACCAGACCAGGCGCACCAAACCATTCAACCGCGAGCTCAGGGACATGGTCTCCGCCATAACAAGCCGCGTCGCCAACCTTCAAAACCATGCATCGGCCGGTGTGAGCCGCGTGGAAGATGATGATGACGATGACGACAAGCACGGGGTAAGGGTGGTCACTCTGGCCGGAAACAACACCGGAGCCACAATGCGGAGCGACTCCGATGATGTCAAACCCGGTAATGCTTACGATGGGTTAGTGTCGGCCGGGGAGAAGGCTGCCGGGGCCGAAGATGCTTTGAGCACGTACGTGAATAGTAATTTCCAGGCGGTGAATAACTCCATCATGCTGGAGAGCTCCTACTCCACCAACGACCCTGGTGTCCACTTGGAGATCTCTGATGTTCCTGAGGTTACTAAGGGTGGGAAGAAGGGAGGAGGGATGAAGGAGAAGCATCAGGCCAAAACCAGTCACGATCAATCTGATGAACAGTCTGATTGACCATATCCTGAAAAGTCAACAAATAATTACATATATATATATATATATATATATACACACACACACACAAGTCATGGAAGCTCCCATACGTCCACTACTTTTAATTTCATATATATATCCATATTACACACACACACACATCTGTATGTGATGTATGGATCTTTTTATTCTGATTTTGAGTGATGAAAGCATGACAATAAGTTCAGGTCTCATGGAGTTTGAAGATCATCACTGCGATTCCCGTTTATACTTCTCTGAATTTCTATTTATAAAGAAATTGTTTGTTTCTTATTATTTCTTTTAATAAATTGTGTTTCATTATTCTGTAATTAATATTTAAATAGTAAAAAGTACAAATTTTTATAAAATAAAATTCGATAGATGAACTATAAGAAGAGATCAAATTGGAGGAACGAGAAGATTCTGTCATCGAACACGAATGAGAGTATAAAAAATTCAAATCCTCGTGTTATAGTAATTTTAAATGAAAATTTTTCAAAAAATTTGATCTCAACGCATAAAATTGAGTTTACCATATGTCAGCATGTTTGCTCGTTTATTTGTGTCTTTTACTTACCCTAACACAATATATATACAATCACTTTCTTAATTTGGCAAAATACCATATACATATATATATTTCAGTAAATTCGGATCGGGTTAATTTTAGTTTGCTACTCGATTCATTCGTATAGTGCTATAAAATTTTTTTATTTACTTGTGTTGGCCATGAATGAAAACTTTGCTTCCAAACACACACAAACTTGAATTTATAAACTAGTGATTTTCATTGGGTGAGCAGCTTTAGCTCCTTGAATGGTGACAAAGATGAGAAAAATTATATATTTCTAGGGACTGTAATGCCCTGAAGCTGAGGCTCTTGCTGTTTTGTGTCTTCATTTTCTTGAGCTATTTTTGACATTCCCAGATTCTTCACTTCTTGATTCTTTCCCCACAGAAGAATGTACAGACCAATCATGACGATAACGGATCCCAACATGCTGCTCGAGAAAAGTACAATATCGATCAAATATGAAAATTTAACCTTCTTTTAATATTATAAGAGTTTATGAGTTTGAATCGAAGTTGAGTGTTTTCGTTAGGGTGTTATATTACGATTTGTGTATATGTCAAATATATGAATGTTCGTTTAAAAAAATTCACCTGCCAAGGTGGAGTTCCTCGTGGAGGAAAGGAATGTCAATAATGGCTGCCATTATCTGAACCAAAGGACTGAATGCAGCTGTGAACAGAGGACCTCTTTTCTTCACACACCATGACAGTCCCAAGTAGCACAACCCTGAACCAACCATGCCCTGCATAAACACATCATCACATCCCACTTTCTGCTTCCACACACACACACAAACATATGTATATGTACTTACAGAAAATAGCAAAGCAAAAATTTCTAATTTCCCATTAAGAATCCAGACTGAGAGCTTCCTGTCCATGAACAAGTTTAAGATGGCTGATTGGGTGGCACCAAAGAAGGCCATGAGAGCAGTGCTGGTGCATTGGCAAGGGTATTTTTTGCTAATTTTGGTTTGGATTAAAAACCACGAGGACCATAACAGAGTTCCCAGAGTCATAGCTGCACACCCAATTGTCCATTTCTCTGTCTTCTTCCTTGAGCTCATTGCATCTTGTTCGATGTGGGATGAGTAAGAATGTGGAGAATTCAACAAAGCCATTCCTTTGTAAAGTGTTAATAACAAAGTTCCTCCAAAACATACTAGGGTACCCATTATTTTGGCTCTTCCACTATTTGATTTTATGTTCAATGTCTCCAACCTGCACCAGATTTTTCATCAATTTTATTTTCGCTTCAATAGTAAAAGACCGAGACCCGAAAAATGGATGAAACTGGATTCTTTACAGAAGAATTTTGAAAATTACAATGTATTTGTTTCTTTTCTAATCATAGGTAGCTAAAGTTATGTGCTTTAACATTTTCCAATGTGTAATAATATGCTCGACCCGGGCATATAGTCCAGTGATCATTCTTTTTAGCGTTCTGTAAAAGTACTTGGGTTCAAATTTTACGAAAAGTGATTTCTACCCAGATAAAAAGAAAACATACCCAAATGGTAAGACCCGGACATATAGTTCAGTGATCATAATTTTAGCTTTCTATAATAGTACCCGAGTTCAAATTTTACGAAAAATGGTTTCGACCTAGATAAAAAGAAGACATACCCAAATGGTATCGCCATTATGAAGGTGATCACCGGAACCATGTTGATGAAAGCACTCGCGAATGTAGCAGATGTATTTTGAATTCCCAAGAGGAAGAAGTATTGCGTTAACGAAGTTCTGCAGAAAATCGAAACTTGAGTATTCTCTACGACCAATTGATACATTAAAAGAAACAATTGTTGAAATATTGTACTTGTACAAAATAATCCATCTTAAAATCATTAACTATTTACCCC